AGCAAGTGACCTCCCTTTAAATCCCACACTTATAATGCCCTGCCTGACCCAATGGGGACTGTGTACCCGAGGACTTGTGTGTATACTCTTCCGATACGATGTTTCTCTCCATCCCATCATCTTGAAATTTGTACTCGGAACCCGCGCCCGTGTACCGAACTGTCGATGTAATAATGTTACTGAGAGCCACCGAAGAAAGGAGATAAACATCTTGTTCGACATGGTGTCGTGTGCATAATGTAAACAATTTTACATGATATTCTTTATCTTTCTTATGTTGCGTGGAAAAGAACTTTGTACACGGCAATAGCGGGATGAAACAAAAGAGCCCGAAAAGCACATGGACGAGTTCCTTTTACTTGATATAGCCTTTTTTCGGGATATGAAATTTTAGTGCAGTTTGTGAAAGGCAACAATCCCTAAAGCTCAAACCTTGCGGCGAGCCATACCTAAAGGAAATGGGCTAAATAATTTGAATTATAGATATTGCTGTCGCTATACCTTTTTTTAAAGATCTTCTCATGCCTTGTATACCATGCAACTAAGGCCAAACAAATTCTGTTTTTAGATAGTTTCTACAAAGTAAGCATGTTTTTAAGACACTAATATAAATTTGGCAGAAGAGATGTTCGGGCTAGTTGTCTTATTGGTTATTTTGTCCGAGGCATGGTAAACTAGAGGGTATTGTACTAAAATAATTGTTCATATCGCATCAGTAGTTTTCGACAAAGTGCTTACAATGATTATTATTTATAACTCGCACAGTCTTTCAATAAGAAAATGTTATTACTGAGGCCAGAATTGGCAACATAAATTAATGTAGGAAGGCTCTAGAAAGAAAAATTAAGAAAGGGGCGGGAGGTAAAACAAAAGTGTCAGAAAAAGAGATGGGTTCCCTACACTACTCTTTCATAGGAAAATGATGTCGAAAATCTCGTGGGCTCTCTCAATGCTCACTTTAAAAGTGGGAGGGGGTTGGATAGGAGCAATGAAAAAAATCCTGAAGAAATATAAACCGAGGAAATATGAATCCCGCTTGCCCTTATAGCCCTTACAAAAATTGTTCATATGAAAAAAGATTTGCTTCATTCTTTTTTTAATGTGGAAGTAGGCTGCCTGTTCTACTCCCCTGGATCCGCCTTTGGAGAGGGGGGGGGGGGTGAGAATACCTACGAGTGTCTGGTATTCGCACGGTTTTTGTTTGCTTGACAAGGCTTACACAGATAATCAACACCAACAATCTTGACACTTATGGCGCCTAGTATGTCTGTGGAAGATAAATGTCTGAAAAAAAAAGGGGGGGGGGGGTTCAAACCCAAATGTATATTTCTTATATTTTCATTTTTATCATAATGTTTCCATGCGGTTCGACACAAAGCAAAGTTTGTCAAGGTTAAAGGGCGTGTTTATATTCGTAATTTGTTAAATAATCATAAATGGAACAAAAATTGACTTAGTTTCACATGGGGTATAGTGTCTAAAAAGTGCTCTCTCCGAGTTAGTTTGTCCAGCCATCGTGATGAAAATATGGCATGAAGTGTCAAACGGTGGATGGCTACAAGTATGACATTCGACCTCAAGTAAAACTATGTAGAATAGTGACCCAGTTTCAAACTTAATCAAACCTTTTACTACAACGCTTTGCAAAAAAATGAAAACAAATAGTATTCGGGTCTGTTTGTATTGCTCCTAACTGAACTACACTTATCGACATTTCGTCTTATCGCTGTCTGAAGCTCGGTTTTTATCAAAGAAAGATTGTTGACTTGGTTTTGCCCGATGCACTGTTTAAGATGTAATGTTGGAAAGAAAGAACTTGTGAACTCATTTTTTAATAAGATAAGCCATTTTTCGGAAAGATAGATTGGCACGATGTCAAATACTTGGCCTTTCATAATTCAAAACTAAAATGAGAGAAAACCTGACACTGCATTATTTTAAAGTTTGCTCAAAGAAAAGCCAGGTAAGCCTCACTAACTATTTCAACGATGAGGTAAACCAAAATCCATTCTATTCGAATTTATTCAGAATATCTATATTGCTTTGTGCGCTCTCTCGCCGTCGCTCTTTGTCTCCCCATCACCAGTCCGTTCCGGAGAAGATAACATCCCGGCATCTGTATTAATTTCAAAATAACAACTGTTAGCTATGTTTCCTTTCTTTTCAAACATTTCAAACTTAAACTTCTACATCGAACTCGCTCGAGACCCACCAAACCGTCATCGCGTCGTACCCTTATCTGAATATTTCAAATATTAAGTGGTCTGTTCAGATAAAGATTGAAAGACATTCTTAGCATATCCCTTGTCTTTATCCAAGAGTCCGAAAATATCCTGAATATTATCTTATCCAATGTTTGAGCTGGCAGCTCACTCCTGCGTGTCAATCATACGTTTTTATCAACATTAATTTGGTAATGATTGATGAAAACTTGATGATCGAGTTGAATGCCCGACAAAAACTGTCGTGGTAAGACAATCAGCCACACCCCCAGAAACGTTGAATTGGCAACGTCCATGTTGAATAATTAGTCGCTAGTTTTCAACCACCAATCGGAACTAAGCTTTTGCATCTTTCTGGCTTCATGATTTAAAAGGCCAGTCCCGATTGGCCAATGGTGGTGTAAGTTATTATCTCACTACTGTACGAATGGTAAATATGTAGGCAAATATATATCGAGAGATAGATTAATTGAGAACTTAGCACAAAGAAAGCAGGATAAAGAATTTTGCAGACGGAGGAGAGATATACAACAGCTTTGGCAACTCTGGTGTTCAACGATTCTGTTTTTTATGGAATAAGGAGAGAGAGAGAGAGAGAGAGAGAGAGAAATCTACTAAAAATTAAACACAAAGAAAAGAAGTGAATCTGTTTCAGATCATCACAATTTAATTGCAAATATGTACATATAAATCAATATCATATATCTCCTTAGCAGTATTTCGTGAAAATCGCCAGACCACAGACATAATAACAATACACATAATAGATATCTATATCTAAACATGAATAACCAACGTAAGGGAATGATCAGTATGGTTTGACGTTGTCAAGAAATATGTAATAAGAATAATAAAACAAATTTAAATAAATGCAGAATCCAGCATAGGAATTCAGTCCAAGAAGTCCATTGCAAGATTTACAATTTTTAATTATATCCTTCTCGAAAAGGTACTGGGAGCACCATCGTCATTGATAGGAGAGAATGTTTTTCTCTATACAATTCATAATCATGGTAATGCACTAAATATTTATTTCAATTTGTTTAAAATTAACGTTAATTCTCGATCATACCCAAAATGAGTTATATTTCTCTACATAAAAGTCCTGATGCACCAAAAAATAAATCTTCCCAGTGTTTGGTGTGGAATTTTAATGTTATCTGGTTGAAGAGAATTGAAGCTCTATAACAGAAACACAAATTGTCAGAAAAGCTGTAATAAGTAAATAGTTAATTAAAAAATCAGTGAATGTTTGATACAGGATGTGAGGCTAAAAGAAAAATTGTATAACCCTAACCCAACGTTTCTTCGTTGTTGTATGTGAGTTAAATTTCGAATTAGTCAAAACAGAGACATTGTAATTTAATTGAAATAAAATATCAGAATTATTTTTTAAGTTGTTCCACGGTATACACAATAAACTGCTATACTTAAAAAGGGAACTTACTATACACTACATTTACATTATAGCTCGTGAATATATGAACTAGTAATAACATAAGAAGAACGACATTTTGAGGTAGCTGTTTTTTTTTACTGATCTAACGTCTATTCCATCGTTCACATAAACAAAGTTTGTGCTTGAAAACTGAAGGTGTTCTTACTAAGCCCATGAAGTCAGATAATTAAAAACTAGATGAACATTTTTAGAATGATAAAAAGCTCAACTGTAACTAAAATAATTTTCGTGCATTTAGTGTAACACGTAGCAATGATAATTAAACCTTTGTAGCTGTGATAAAAAAATCAGAACAGATATTTGATGGGAGGTAATAATGGTGAATGTATTGTCTGGTGTAAATCCCCATGGAAACAGCCATTCATCACATACAATAATGGATGTCTATGTATAGATCCATAGAGAATTAGTTGAGGATATCTTAATGATACTGCTTTAAATGGTCCCATGGAATAGAAAAGACCTTGTCAAATCAAAAGCAATTGAAACTACGAATATATAACCACTAGCATTTCATCAATATCCATAATATATTGAAAGTCTCGATTTTAATCAATACACGAATGTAAACATCAAAAGTTACAATTACAATTACCAAATTATGTTTTTTTATAATCACAGTCAGTTAGAAAACTCTATGGACAGCAAACACAATCATTAAAGAATGTTCCCTGTGACATATTAAGTTGAACACACGCCCATTTGATTAAATACATATTTTCATTAGCCTACTGCTGCTATGTTCAAAATGAGTGTAATGGTAGTTTTTGGTATTACAACGGCAGCCAATGATAAAAACAAAACAAGTTTGTTTGGTTAGGCCATTTCACACTCTACATGATTATCTTTTGATAAATTCCACATTTATTATACTGAAAGCATGGCAAGCTTTTATTAGTAACGGTTACACTTATATGCTATTGGTGATTCAAAGATAAATAAGTCGTGCGTCGCTTTTCATTTGCACTACAGCCCGCCATTCTAATTAAAAGAACATATTCGGCACAATATGAATAGACGCTATCTTTTCCCCTGATTCGAAAAATTAGTCAAAATATGAATTGTAAAACTAATTCGATAAACAGTGATAACACATTTGGACAAGTCCTCATCAAACATATTTTGCTAAGCTTTAGATGTTACATGGTTCCAAAATACAATGTGAAGCAAGTGTGTGTTTATTACGTGTTACTACATTTATATTTAACCAGTATATTTTATAGATTTCAGATACAAGAGAGTCTAGAAAAAAAGTGAAACCACATATGGAATATAGTATCTTGGAATTCTACAATTAGAAGCTACAGTGACAAAAAAGATCAAAAAGCCTGAGCATCAATAATTTGTGGCTTCACTTGTGACGGTCTGATATTCGATGACATCGAGTTCATATTCTTCGTCAGTTCTAAACTGTCTTCACTACTCGGTGACGCGCATGCGTGCTGTAACGGCGAATTGTCTCGCCTTTCTAATGTTGCATTGTGGTTCGTCAGATGTCGTTGCGTGGCCGCCTGCGCAGCGCGTTCCATACCACAATCGCCGGCCATCGAGCTCATATCATCGTGGTCAGTTCTTGAATCGGGTAAAATCTTCTCATCGTTGGCGATGATGTCACTTTGACTGCTGACGTCGCTACCATCAGCATCCTGCTTCAGTGGTTTTCTCTTTGCTTCCTCTTTCTTCCATTTCATCCTCCTGTTTTGGAACCAAATTTTGATGTGACGTTCCGTTAAATTCAACATGGCGGCTAGTTCGATTCGGCGGGGACGGGAAATGTATTTATTGAAGTGGAATTCTTTCTCCAGTTCCAGTAGTTGTCCTCGAGTGTAAGCTGTCCTTGTTCGTTTGTTTTCATCGAAATCAGCAAAGGAAGCACCTACAGCAAAGAAACGATACAATGACGAATTTAAAAATCAAGAAGAGTTTTAAAGTTTAGAGTCTGTTTAAATTTAATAAATTGAAATTCACGCAAAGGGGGGGGGGGTGGGAAAATAAATTTATATGGGAAAAGAAAACTCGAAACATGACGCTCTTAAAAGAAAGATCCATGTAACAGGCTAAGAGTTAAAAAAAAAAAAAAAAAAAAAAAAAAAAAAAAAAAAGCCCCTTAAAACACATCAAGGACAATGTATCAGAATAACCCTTTGGTAAAAGCAAACTTAGTTGCCAAAGTGTGGTCATATATTTAACATTAAAAAAATGTCATTAACACAGAGGTGCATGACACGATACTCTTTATCATTTTTATGGTCATTTGTAGTTTCAAGATGCACTACACAATTTGAACAAAGAGTGCACCTAATATGGCAGTGTTTTAGTTAGTGGGACGAAAAAGTCATGATGAATGATTTTAACTTTTTATTGTAGCCAAACTGTATGATGATTGTTGCGGTGACAGTGTAAACCACAATGATACGTGATTCCCTTTTTCCCGATTCCATTTGTGGAAACACTGTGGTGCACACACTCCTTACTACAATATACACTGTTAAGCACTGTGAGTTTCAAAATGAAAAAGAAAGAGAAAATGTGAACAGTATTAATGCCACACTGAGATCATGTACATATCTCATGTGACCTCACTGTAACACACACTGTGAGAACGCTGGACACAGTGTGAACATCCACACTTTCACGCTGTAAATGCTTTTTGAACCTTTCTGCGGCCACAATAGAGTGCGCACACAATGTGTGGGCATACTGTATAACACTGTGATACACACTGTAATACAAAAGAGAACACAGTCTGAACAGTATTCACACTGTCACATTATGATTTTTGTCATATTCCCTTCTGTGGCAACAGTGTTATGCATACACACTGTACTATCATACTGTTTAACACTGTGACAAACTATTCAAATCAACGAGAACACAACTTGAACAATGTCCACACTTTCAAACTGAAGGGGGGGGGGGTGATTTCCTCAGTGTCTACACTGTGAGGAAGACTTGTTCCTACATATGACCCCACTCTTTGACACTGTGCCACACCTTGTATAAACGTAGTCAAAATCATTTGAAATAATTGCTATGAAACATCCAAAAGAGGTTTACCTGTGACAGTTTCGGTGTCTGAGGAAGTGTCAGGACTTAGCCACCAAAACTGTCACATGTCACAACTTTTGGATATGTCTAAGATTTTATTTCTAATAAGTGAAAGCAAAAGAATATATACTCTGTTTGCAGGGGCAAACTATATCATACATGTATATGTTTAAAGTGGTTCTGTGGTCAGCAAAAGGTTTTCGATGCAAAGACGTGTGACAATCTTGTTAAAGACTGACAAAAACCTCTCTGCTACCTCTGACACCAACTTCGGACCAATGGTTGTCGGGTGTCGGTGAACGGTCGTATCTCTTGTGTGACTATAATGTATGGTGATAATGTATATGATTTGACCACAATCTGACGATAAAGGTGACACAATTACCATCATATTGTCATGATAATAGATTCTGCTTTATGCATCTGAAATATATCTTCAATGCGGTGTCATGTGTTTATGATAATGTCCCCCTATTGTAAGTTATAACGGTCGTTGAACCAAACATTATCTGATCTTCAATGACGTCTTCATGGCAAGAGCCATATCAGCAGACTAACGACCCTCGTTCTATTCTAACAAGGCCTTTATGTTATTTGTTTGAGAATTAGTATCACGGCGAGCCAGTCCTTTATTCATGAAACACGGATGGACAATCACGACTGGTCTGAATCGGGTGGAAGGACCGAGCGAGAACCCAATTAATTGAAAATTGCTGGCTTGAATTTGGATAGAACGAGCCCGTTATAATACACGACACAAAGAAGGCCGCCGTGTGATTGTTACTGTTGCAATCCTTGTGTATTTTACTAAGCTCTCAACAAAAAATGGTAACGGTGGGGTGATGATGGGGGTATCATGACCCCCTGTCTGTTTTGAAGAGGGTTTAATCTTATCACAACAATTGATCGGATGAAGACGGTAGCCAAGAGGTCCAAAAAACAGATCTAGACTGAGCTACATCTTGACCATAGGATAGCCATTGCCATTAGTCCCCGTTAAATGGCACTAGTCCATTCAACTTTCGGCTTGCAAATGGCGTCGCCGGGGCGCACTTTAATAATTGTTCAATCACTTCGGGAACAAAAACACTATTGACAACAACATTTTTGCTTACTTTCAAGAACCGCTGACTCTTACAAAAAAAGCCGAAAAGCCCCTTTTTTGCAATTGATCTCATTTATGTGTTGCGTCTTTACAGAACCATGCCTTTCTAATAATCACCTATTTGTTGAATACACGTTGCGCGGGCAGACTTTTAGTGTCTTCAACATAGAGAGGCTTCTTTTAAATGACGCTCTCTAAAAAGAACAATTACATACAAAGATAAATTCTCCCTAGCGTTTAAGTGTTACAACTCTAACCCCTTCACCCGAGAGAATAGTCCGACTTCTCGCAAAAACATACTTAACCCACAATCTGCCATTCCAGACGATGCTCCTGGAATTAACAAAGATTTCAATGCATGTTGGCGATCAAGGACTTAATACGACGTGTCTAGATTTGTGATCCTGACTGCCTATACAGACAATGCAATGTGCAGTCATCCTGGAGTCGGGAATCCATGTTAAAGTTACTGCGTACAACACTTCTATGCACATTCTCTGTTTGATTACGGCATTAAGGGACATCTTAATCCGATGGCGGTCCCGCTTTGATGTCATGGGGATGCACCCGAGATAGTCATGTCTCAGGACCAGGACCCCGGTTAAAGGTAAACTGGAGTTCTGGAAATAAATTGTACACCGTCTATTTTGGGCTAAGGAATCATTATTTGCTTCATTATGTTGAATAAGAATCCTCGCACATAGATGGCTTTGGACGAGCAAATTATTTCAAGAAATGTATACATTGCTAAGAAGATAATACATACAACATACAAACACGAATATACAAATATTATAGGAAAATGTATTGTAATACATGGTGTACATTTTCTGTCAATATTCAATTATCAAACATTTATTTACGGTTTTATTGTAATTGATGTAATTTCCTAGATTTTTGTTGATTATTTTGTTTTGTTTGCTTCTAAGAAATAAATGAGATCTCGTTTTATTTTTTTGTTATTTACTGAAATCCAGACTCCCTTTAAAGTAAAACACCACAGTATAGTGATACCAATCAGTTGTAAACTTACGTCCATAAACAAGCATATCTCTACTACAGATGCATTTATTTAGGCAAGGACATGATGCACTGAGTTTATGTAAAATGAGAAAGAAAGAAGGCTAGGTCTACGTTTGTGGACGTTTGAATTCACATCATTTGTTCAAATTTGTTTAGTCTGAAGTAGTCAGGGGAAAGGAACTATGTTTCAGCTATATAATTCAAAAGGGGAAGTCATGCATAAGCAGCATTGCATTAAGAAGCATGGTTTATATCGGGTTGTTCCATTCGTTGTAAATCTTCATAGTTGAGCAATTTTTAAACCATTTCTATACATTGTCTCTCCCCAATATTGGCTAATTCTTTATCGTTATTACTAGTATTTTTATGATACCAGTACATCAGCAGGTATATTGCCTGCAGTTGGCTAATAGCAGGTGCGGTAGTTTGTGGCATTAAAATATGTATTACATTATTGATAAGCAAAAAAGAAAAAAAAAATGATTTCGAAAGTAACGGTTTCAAGTACATACCTCAACATGATAACCAAAAAGTTGGAAACCTGTGCTTATATTGCTTATTTTGTGAATATTCCACGAGACACAATTTCATAACATTTATATGAAATCGAAATGGAAAGTTATTTCAACCTTAATCAAAATTCTGAATAAAAAGATCAGAAATAATTTTGTCACATCCCTAATTATTGCTTTCAGTGGCGTCTTAAAATCTTATGATCAGATCATGGCATCAAAATAATATGGGCAGCCCGAATGCTGTAAACCCATTCCAAATTGTATATATATTTTTTCTGACTCTTCTCCACCTTTTGCCGGATCCGCCACTAGTCATTCATCTAGTACTGTAGCACAAAACCCGAGACATATAGAGTAAATATCTCATTTAGATCTAAATGTCAGACAAGAGCCTTGCCCAAAATCTAACCTCATGTGTTCATCGCATGTTAGAATAATCGTTTATGAAGCGCAGAGGATGTCCATAATACCAATGTATTCTCTTGATGTCAGCCTTAAAGGGATTGGGTTACTTTGTCTCAGATTCTCAAACAAAATCCTGGATTTAGCTCAAGCTGCAATGATATTTATAAACCTTTAGGTCAGTCAGGAACCCCATAATCGCCTGTCTGATTATCAAGATATTTATGATTGGAAATCGAAATCAAATTTTGCGTTTTCCTAACGGTTTTCATAACACTACAGTCTATTGGGGAAAACGAGTATGGTAAAACCGGTCACTCAAAGATTAAAAAAAAAAACTTTGTTAAGGCACTTCATGATCATTTTGAAGCGCAATTTGTTTAGGGCTTCAATATTTCACCATATCACAGACACTGATAACACGTAGGGCCATACATCTCAGATTTAACATTGTTAAACGATGCCTTTAACAAATTATATTTAAATTGATGATGAAAGTCTTATTCCTAAATCAATGAATAAGAATTCTACCTTCAATGTTTAACATACGATAATTTTGCATTAAAGATACGCACTTCTTTTGAATGATAAACAAATCACGTCTTTACGCTTATTTCTTGTCATGAATATTAATTATAGTTGGAATTTCGGCTCCGATTGTTAAGTCACACCCGTTTTATTATCTTGGAAACCTAATGGATAATGTTTGATAAACTTACACTAGATGACACAAATATTTCCTAACTGATCAGAGATAAAAATAAAATATCGAATGACATAAGA